AGAAGAAGAAGAAGAAGAAGAAGAAGAAGAAGAAGAAGAAGAAGAAGTTATCTCATCCATCCATCCACTTAGTAGTGTATAGATCAGCCCCAGGGAAGCAGATGTCATTTATTAGTTGTGTTTTCTCTGAAAGGTAAGCATGTAGTATCCCACTGCTAATTTTCTTGACACTTCCATTCTTTTTTGTAGCATTTGGTGTTATGCTGCTGATGTTTTTAGTGGATGATGATGATGGTGTTATCTGTATCAAGCACTTAGCTTTTCCTTTTAAATGGATTTCAATCTTCCACTGTATCTTATAACTTGAGAAAACATGTAGTGAGCCTTTTGCTATTTATTTTTTTGAGGATTTTAAAGAAATGTAAAACTTCCTCAGGTAGAATTTGAAATGCCTGTTCAGGCTGAGGAGAAAATTGCCTGGCCAGAGGACATTTGTGTGTCAATGTAATTCTTTTTGTAATTCTTATTCTCTCTCTCTCTCTCTCTCTCTCTCTCTCTCTCTCTCTCTCTCTCCCTCTCCCTCTCTCCCTCTCCCTCTCCTCCCTCTCCCTCTCCATCTCCATCTCTCTCTCCCTATCTATCTTTCTGAAGAGGTTATGTAAATTTGAATATAAAAATTGCTTTAAGGGACACTCGGTTTTCTTCTTAAAGTTTGGCTTAAGAATTAGTTTGAAGCCAATATGAACTTTATTCTTTATTCAAGCTCAGAGCGTGTGTCAGATGGCTATAATGATGGCTATATGACTATTTGTTTTCGTTTTTGACTAAAACAATGTATATGCATTGTGTATTTGGTGCAAGTTGAATTATAAAGGAAAGAACGAAAGAAGCAGAATGGATCTACAAAGACTAACAGCCCCACACCAGGCTGCATATTCACCCAAGAATCTTCTCAAAACACTGACATCAGGTCCCCAAGCCAAGACTCTCTGACATAATTGGCACATGAGCTTGAGCTTAGCCTTAACTTACTGAAAGCTGTTCAGGTGTTTTGAATGTGTTATCAAGCTTGGAAGTTCCTGTGTGTAGAAATACAATAAGTAATCTGAGAAATAAGGTGTAATCCAGGAAATTCAGAGCCTTTCGGTTTCAGCTAGGGTTCTTGGCTTTAGATGTCCAGCTGGAATTACTAGAACCTAAGGTTATGAGATATTCAACTCTGGTAGACATTTCCCTCGCTTTGATTGGATGGAATTTGGCCTGATTTTAGGTTCCAGAATTCCAAGAAAGAGTTGACAATATTTTTTATTCCTTTGTCTTTGATGTCCCTTGAATTCTATAGACTTTCACAAGAGCCAAAAGCTTTTGTTTTGTTTCTAAATGGTGATTCAAAGCTGGTGTTATATGTAATTTGTGTCAAAACATCACATCCTTTTTACCTGGATGTAGCCTGCCTTCCCCAGTCACCATCAGATGGTCTAAATACTCAGGAACATTTTGGCAGGTAACACTTTTACTGAACGCTGAAGGGATGGTCTCTAAGCAACCATGATGGGTTTAAGGCTTTCCTGTAATCGTTTCACTAGAAAGGGACTCAGCCATAGTAAAGCCAATTGCACACACTGAAAGACAATCAAGAGATGGGAAGGGCAATGATTCTTAGTAGATTAATATGAACTGGGTAGCGAATTTGAAGGTAACTTCAATTTAAATATAATTGCTTGAAGTTGAGTATGGTGTTGTGTATCAACAACACCAGCGTGAGGGGAATAGAGGCAGGAGGATCACAAGATCAAGGCCAGCCTGGGTTACACAGTGAGACAAATGCCAAACAAGTTCACTTTTCTCTTTGAAATGACTTTTTGGCCAACTTTCTGATTATGAAAATATCATAGTGAAATATCAATTTATGTGGATCTGATTTACTTTATAGTGTTTGAGATCAGCAAAATGAGTCTGAGATGAAAGCAAATTAATATGGACAAGACAGAATTTCCAGACCAAAAAAGTCATCTTTCACTCTAGAACTTAGTACTAGCATGGTTTCTGTGATTTGGGAATCCTTTGTCAGGGTAAGAATTCTGAAAGAAATCAGTAGCTTAAGGGGTTAAGTAAATACAGGGCTTGGATTTGTCTCAAGCATATTTGAAACACAGCATACTGATTTCTAGAAAGTCCCCAGAAGTTGCAAGGACAGGAAGATGCCAACCTATGACAAGTGAACAGTATGGAATGTTCAGACCCAAAGTGACAAGGAATCTATAACGTCTCAGATAGTTTTGCTGAACTCAGCCTGGGGTCATACCCCACACTGTTCGCAATGCTGAAGGCCTCCTACAGAGCTTCCTGCTTTCCTCTGGTATCTAAATTCTGTGAGTGACTGAGCAGCTGTGAGCTGGTGACTGTGATGAGAGTTTTACTGGCTGTGCTTCGCTACTGACTGCCCAGCTTTCAGTACTAAGAGCATAGACTAATTTGTCAGGGTGTTATCCTCTTCCTGAGATACTCAGGATCCTTGGAAGAACAAACTTTTGCCGTCCGTAGCTCTTCAGGTTTCTTTTAAGCAAATGGCTCCTTAACATTTGATTTTGTTGAAGAATAATATTCATACTTTGTGAGTAGTCTGATGAATAAGTCATGTGGTCTCAGGAAAGGCATTGCTTTGGGGAAGGTCTGACTGATGATCATGAGGGATCTGCTTAGAGGTTCTTATCTTCTCCAGATCCTGCTGTAAAGGCTTATTCTTAGAGGGACGGGATCTTCAGAAGGCTCCATAAGCATCACCTCGGGTGGTCACTGCAAAAGTAGGGTAGACCTCATAGGTTGTATATGCTGCTAAGTCTTGTCCAAGTGTCACTGCTTGCTTGAGCTGGGCTGTAGTCACAGGAGCGGTGGCACTGGGGACAGCATATCCTGAAGGAGGAGGCAGAAAAAAACTTTATGAAAGGAATTCAGATTTTCTCTCTCTTTGGCACATTGTTTTCTTTTATCAATACTTAGAATTAGCATATTGCTTAAGACAAGTGAGTAGGTATGGTGAAAATGTGTTCTGAGGAGATACAGTATGTGGGCTTAGTTGTGTGGAATAGCATTGGTTTTATTTGTCTGTTTTGGGTTTTGCTCTTTGTGGGTTTTTGAAACAGGGTCTCTCTATATAGTCCTTGGTAGCTCTCCTGAAACTCATATGTAGATCAGGCTGGCCTGGAACTCATAGAAATCCACCTGCCTTTGCCCCTTCAGTGCTGAGACTAAAGGGAAATACCATCACACCCAGCTGGAATAGCATTCTGAGTGAATATGACGTTCTGCAGAAGAAACCAACTTTCTTGTGTGAGTCTTACTTCACCCCAGCAAATAGACAAGGGAGAGAGGGTCCAAATAACAGAAAGGTACCCTATCTTCCCAGCTTACAGTACAGAGCGTTCCCTGAGGTGTATACACAGAATGTATACATGAAGCAAGTTGCTGAGGAGTTGACATGGTAGCAGTAAGGTCCGTGGATCTAGTTCGGCCGGATATTACATTGACCTAAAACCTCACACTTAAAAAAGTAAGACATTTCAAGGAATCCTGGTTTATGCCTCTAATCCCAAAATGCCAGGGAACAGCATGGAGACAGTAGCAGGAGGTCTTTGTGAGTCTGAGGCAGCCTGGTCTACATAAAGAGTTCCAGGACAGCCAGGGCAACAGAGAGAGACCATGTCTCAAAAAACAAAACAAAAAACAAACAAACAAACAAAACCCAACAGCTTTCATACAAGTAGAACAAATAGAGACAGGGTATTCTAGTGGACAAATTACTGTACTGTTTTAGAGCATCTTAATGTATCACCATAAAAACAAGTGATTCTTTAAAAAAATATATTTTGTTAAAAACTGCTGTCTGGTTTATTTTTTATCTATTGCAAATGCATAAAAAGATTTCTCATCAAATGCTGCTAATGGAGCAGTAGAACCCTGAGAACTAAGCTTTTGGTTTTCTTTAGAAAAGTACCACAAATCACACTGTAAAAGTCTTTGAACTTGGCACAAAACCCTGTTGTAATGTTACAATATGAGTTTTAAAAGTTCAATGACTAATAGCAGTAGCCTTATATGGACAACTAAAAGCTATCTCATTTAACCAATGGAAATGATACCTTTTCTTTCTTTCTTTCTTTCTTTCTTTCTTTCTTTCTTTCTTTCTTTCTTTCTTTCTTTCTTTCTTTTTGGATAAAAGCTAAGTATGCTTACCCTAGTACTCTGGGCTTTCTCACTTTTTCTGAAGAAGTCCCACTCAATTCTTTTTGCCATGAGGCATTTTGTGGATCTCCAAGGCAAACAGCATGTCTCTCTCTCTCTCTCTCTCTCTCTCTCTCTCTCTCTCTCTCTCTCTCTCTCTTTCTTTCTCTCTCTGTTGCCTTCTTAGCAGCTGCTGAGATTTACAACTTGCTTACCTGTTATTTGTCTGTCTGTCTGTCTATCTATCTATCTATCTATCTATCTATCTATCTATCTTCCATCCATCATCTGTCTGTCTGTCTATCCCTATAATTTAACTGTCCTCAAACTTCTTTTAATCCATTAAAAAAATTTTGTATTAAATAGACTAAGAATTCTCAAAAGAAATCCCAGTCTTTCTGGTAACAGCAGGTTCAGGGAGACACTCTGCCTCAAAGGATGAGACAACAGTGTTGGAGAGGTGGCTTGTGGTTAAATACATACTGCTCTCATAGAGGATCAGCAGAACATTGGCTGCCCACAACTCCAGCTACAGTGGATCTAACACTTGCGGCCTCTTCAGGAAGTTGCACTCATGTAAACACACACACACACACACACACACACACACACACACACACACACATCCCACATGCATAAGTAAATCTTTATTTTAAAAAGATGAGGTAGAATGTAATGGAGCAAAGCAGCTGACCCTGACCTCTGGGCTTCACACATACACTTGCATACAAACATATATACACTACATAGACATGCACACACGTGTATGTACACATAGGTATACAAGGACAAATATAAAAGAAAAAGTAGAAAAAAACCCTCCAAACAACAACTACAAGTTAGCCAACAGTGGTCAAATTGTTTAATCTTCCCAGTCCCAGGCTTCTTAATTTGTACAAAGAGATTGCATTGTAAGACAACTGTTAGCACCATAAGGGTCATTGGGAGAATATAAAGCTTGCTAAGTGCTTCGGCAAGTGCCCAGCTCACAGCTAGAACTCAGATAAATACCAGCTAATAATAGTATTAAATTCTCTTAAGGGTAAAAGCCAATCCACACCAACCCAGGCTCAGGAATGTTGACTCATTCAGGGCCCCACAGCCATTTAGGCTGCTCTGGTTCAGTTTCCCCATCTCTTCCATCTGCATGTAGTTGAGGGTCCTACAAAGAAGCCCCCCTGCCCCTAGACATTCTGCAGCCCGCCGTTTCTGGCTTGACTGGCTGATCCCCGCTCCTCAGTACCTGGGAACACAGTGGCAGATGTGGCGGCGGGTGCTGTAGTCCCAGCGTCCCCTCCTTCTGTGGGGATGCCTAGTGTCTGGAGCGTGTGCTCTGCTGCGTACCTCTTTGCTTCATCCACATAGGCGCTTAGCTTTGGAGGTATGAAAGGGTAGCTGGGAAGCACAGTCAGCAACGTTAATTATTCAGAAATTTGAATATTCAGGCACTTTTCGCTTTTAAAGATGATTGGATGATAGTATTTTGTGTATGTGTGTGGGTGGGTGTTTTTTTTTCTGTTTGTTGTAAAAATCTTCTACATATAAGCCTACACGGGCATATTTATGAATTGATCTAGCACCTTGGTAGCTGATGACACTCCTGGGAATACATATAATTTTTTACTATATGGCTCTTCTAAGGTAAAGATGGTTCCTAAAGTATATAAATGCAGCCTGAATGTAAAGTGGAAGGTGATATTTTTTAATGATTAGGTCTTTGATATGAAATTTAAAAAGTGGGACAGACAGTTATGTGGTGAAGTGGCGACTTGTGTCAGCCTAAACAATGTAGGAAGGAACCCCTTACAGTCTTTAACCATCTCCCCTTTCTATTAGTCAGTTATCCCAGAGACTCTTCCCAATGTACGAAACTGTGATTTTTTCGATACTAGTCTAACAGCTGGTGCATATATACCAGCTGAGTGTGAGCCTGCTTTTTTATTTAATTACAGGGGAGTAGGTTTAGTACGTTACTGGTGTGATGATCAAATACAGTTAATAGCCAGGCTAATCTTATCTAAACTTTCTGTTACTAGGAGCATGGAGAAGGTACCCACATTGCAGGATTCTGGCTGGCCAGCGCTGGGATAGTTACTTTGTATAGGAATAACTGTCTTTGGTCTTGTCCAATGGCAGAATGCAGCTGGTACACTGGCTGTCCCCAGTTATTTTTTTGACAGATTTCTTCTAATATCTACAAGAGAAAAAACAATTGTTTCTCCCCCAAATGCCACATTTGCATTGCTTCTCTAGATTTTAGGCTCCAAGCTCTGAACTTCAGATTCAACTAATAGAAGAGAGAAAAATGTCATGAGGTGTAATGACTCATAAAATGTAAGTTAAACTCAATCTGGACTCCATTTAAACTGTGAACATTTATTATAGTTCATAAAAATAATTTTCACATCATTTACTCTAATAGTTTTAGTTTAGTCAATATACATATATATATATATGTACATCATGTATATATCTGTATATATTACCAAGAGCTTAGCTTCATTTTTTTGGTGTGTGTATTTATTCCAGTTTTTAGGAAATTGGGGTTGTAGTGACGTGTGGATGGATTTCTCTCTTATCTCCACTTAAGCTCTTATTCATAGGGTTAGGGTTAGGTTTATTATGGTTCTAGTTAGGGTTATGGTTAGGGTTAGGGCAGTTAACCTGAGAGCATATCTTTACTTTTGCCATCTACCATATGTTTTTGATTTTCTTTATTCTAATAATTAATAATTTTAAAAGAAACTATGCAAAATAAAAATAATAACAAAACATGGTTTAAAACTACAGTTCAGCAAAATATAAGTTAACCAATAATTGGTCTTTAATATATTCAGTATCCTAAACATATGTTTTTTTTAATTTCACATTTTTTTGAAATCAGAAGGTCTTACGAGTTAGCATTTACTTCTCACCTATTTCATTTTTTTTTAAAAAAAATTATGTATTTAAGTGAATGTTTTGCCTGGTTGTATGCACACTGCATGCATGTGCCCTCAGAGGCCAACACAGGGAACTGGAGTTACAGATGTTAGCCACTATTTACAGCTGTTAGGGAGCTGACTGTGTTCTTTACAAGAGCGTCAAATGTTTTTAACCACTGAGCCATCTTTCCATCCTTTGGGGCAGTATTTGTGGATAAACATTAATAGGTATTCACAGTGGTGATTATTTTTTATTTAGTTGGCAATGTGCCACTTTTAGCTATTTTTATGAGAACCTGTTCTTATTTCCCATCTGCATATTTACTTTTTACTTCTGTAATTACTGTAAACTGAATTTTTACCCCCAAAGATTCATGCTTCCTTCACCCTAAAGTTTTGGCGGTGCTGAGATCCTGACCCTGCATTCACACAGCAGATTCAGTATCCGTGTCAAAAGAACAGTGTAAAAGGAACAGTGCCCCCTACAACCCAGTTCTCTGGAGCCTCTTAGCTCACCGTTCTCACATTAACCCGGCTGCTGTCTCCCATGACATTTTCCAGTTTATTAATTTGAAGATTGAGCTTATTTTTCCATTATTAAAAAGCACTCAGTAGCAACTCCCGTAGTTTATAAGCATGCTCTAAAGTTCCCGAGCAGTATCGGTTAGCTTTTACTGATACATAGGCTGTCCACCCATTTATGCCAGTCAAATAAACACACTGAGGGGCATGGTCTCTGCAGCTGCCTGTTGAGCAGGGCACTTCTTGAGCCCTGTCTACTGGTTGGTGATTCCTACCTCTAATAGAGGGTTCGTCTCCAGCCACATTGGCTGGGGTGGCATGGTCTTCAATTTTTCAACTCTATTTGTAAAAGTTCAGAGACATCTTAGTTAAACAACTCTCATTATGGCCAACCTCTCACTTAGGTTTAATGTGTAAGCAGAGAACTTTGCACAAAATTTCATCATGACACTTACTTGATTTCACTGTGATTATCTGATCATGCGTTAGTATTATCCCACTGGGTTGCCACCTAATTTGTGATTGCAAGGACTTTTGTTGCATTCATTTTTGCATCTCTAGTGTCTAACAAACATATTACACCAGAAAAGCTCAATAAATGTTATTTTTGAAACAAATGATTCCTGTTTGCCATGGGAATAGACATTCTTCTGTTTATTTATTTACTTTTCTGATGCCTGAATATATTTTGAAGAAAAATTACTTAAAGTTACATAAAAGAAATCATTGACAATACCTCTGCTCTCATTCTCTGGTCTTGGTTGCAATCCTGAGGCTACTTTTTTTCTTAAGTCAGAGTTCTTCCTTCCTCTTGAGAGCAGGGATGTTTCCCTTATAATCCACAGCCTATAACTATAGCAATTTGGCCAAAAGGCTTCAGAGGGAGAGCAGGTGATGCTCTCATTAATGGGAGAACCTGGGCTTAACAGGGATTGAATCTATTTTGTTTTAATTTATCAAACACGGCATGTAGTTTCTCTATTGGGATAATAATTATAACTTTCAGTTTCTACTAATTAAAAAAACACAATCACTCAGAAACATAGAAACAGAAACTATTAAATAAAGCAAACAGCGGTTATCATCATGACACAGTTACTGTTATAACACCGTCCAGTACAGAGCATTGTGGAAGACTTTATATGACTGCTGGCATTTTATAATTAAGGATTTACCTAGATTCCATGATAGAATGTTCTCTCTCTCCTTTTTTTTAAGATTGTGAGATTATAATATAATTACAACATTTCTCCCTTCCCCCTTTTCCAAAGCTTCCCATACGCCCCCTCACTTGTCTTCAAATTCATTGTCCTTTTTTTCATTATTTGTTATTGCATGCCCACGTATACCATATAAATATATATTTCTAAATAAGCTATTTTGTCTGAGTGATGTTACTTGTATGTATATTTCAGGGCTGCCCATTTGGCTCTGTAGAACCAATTGGTGTGCTCTTCTCCAGGAAGGGCTACCCCTCCTGCTCTCCACTTGGCTACAGTTACTCAGTTGCTATAGTTCTTTGTGGTGGTTGGGGTCTACAGGACTTTTACCCATCCACTTTGGCATGTCTAATGGTGTAATTCTGTTAATGCCATATTTCCAAGAAAAGTTTTAAACAGTATACACAGGGATCTGTCTATGGAGTCTCTTCCCTGCAGTTGTTGACCAACATACTTTAATAGACATTTATTCTGAGCTCTGGTCTGTGCCTTGTTTTATTTTCATTTAAGATGTTGGTTGACATTCCTTTTCAGGATTTTGTTTGTTTTTCATTTTACTGGGTTGTGATGAAGGTCCATTTAGTGCCAGAATGGCAGCTGGTCTCAGTAGTCCCTCGGAGTATACTAAGCTGATTGCCACAGAACAGTAGCCCGAATGAAGATCAAACTCTAATCATTTGAACAATGATCCCTGGTCCCAGCTTAACTACCTGTGGAGTGATCTTACCTACCTGAGGAGCAAGTTTAATTCCTTGTGGTTTTAAAGAGACAGTATTCATCGGGGTGAGCTCCATTCCAGGCAGAAGGTCATAGAGTTTGTCTTCTCTCTTGTCTCCTTTGACCTGGTACCCTCGACCCAGGCCTGTGTATGCCAAATACCCACGGCCGCCCAGTCCTCTCACTCCCGCAGCCCCTACAGGGACATTCATGTAAATTTCTAGGAATGTAAGAAGGCATTAAACCGAATCAAACCACCAGAAAATCACCCTGAATCTTACTGTAATGGAAAAGTTAGCCCGAGTCACATTGATTAATGCCCTGAGGATGGACAGATGACCTAAGATTCTAATGTAATGAAACTCAACATCAGGTAATGCTCACCATTCACTCTTGCTTTCTTAAAGCTCCTTAGGAAGAAAGCAATCCCTTCAAGGGGATTGGTGTGTACACAGCCGCTTAAAATTTTGTCAGAGGAAAAGTATTTCTTACTACTGTTTTGTTAAATTTTTCGGTAGATTCTCTAAGTTTCAGTATGTATTTATTAAAACGTCCCAATATAATATGACCATTTGAATTATAGTTAGTTTGAGAAAGAGACTATTAGAGTGAATGCCATTCTGCCAGTAAGGCAGAAATAAATTTGATTATCACATCTCTGGTGAGTCATCAGACAGACATTTAGAAAGCATCTTTTCTGTAAGTTCATTGCGCTGTTGATGTGAGGCTTAATTTTGTTGAGTTTCATACAAAGATTCCTTTTGATTTTTATTTAGCCATATTTCTATATTGATTTCCTATTGGTGACATAAAAGAATAAACCATTAAGTGGATCACTCTTTACCCATAAATATCATTTATTGATTATGTTTTTGTTAATGCTATGTATTATTTTCCCTTGGAATGGAGTTTGCTTTTTTTCTACATCACAACTGGTTGATAGTATGTAAGATATATGGACTGATTGATTGTATGTTAGATATATACATAATGTCTCATGACATAATTTAGTATATAGAAGGTATTTTGAATAAAGTCTTCATTATTACTTTTGCATTACAATTTTGGTAGGAGTGATTGTATTGTGAGCTTAGACCTTTTAAAGCCATTGAAGAGGTCTTAAGATGTTCAATTCATTTTTTCCCTTGAAAAATAATGTAACACAGTAAGAAATTGTTTCCATAGTAATCTTGATGGGCCTATTCTAAGTTACACCCAAGAGTGGATTTAAATGCATCATTTGTTTCCATTTTCCAGATTGCTGTCACACGAGGAAAACAGGATTGGAATCCGGATAATGTTGGCTATAACCAAGAAAAACCACAGTAAAAGATATCACAAAGCAGAGGCAAACTACCTTTATAATTTACTAAGTTTACTGAGCTCAGAAACCTGCTCAAACAGTGAATCTGTATAGGATTTAAACATAAAACACAGTCTGGCCGTGATTACTGACTTTGTTTTTCTATTTTTAAGTTATTTGGTTTCCATTATACTAAAGAAATATTAATTTCCTCAATTGTTTGGCTTTCTCAAAGTTATTGCACATTGATACGGTGCACACCTGCCACTATAGCAGTCAGGAGGCAGAGGCAGGTGCTGGGAGTTCTTGAGCAGCCTGGAATTTAGAGTAAGCCCTTGTCACCAGCATGTAGACAGACACATGGAATAACAACGATATAACACAATATCTGGGAAAGAGTTCATATGAGCACACCTCGTTGGAGACGGTTCCCATTGGGCCATGTTGCTCTCCCTTGAAAGCTCTGTAACCAGTGTAGTTGGTTTAATAGGAAGGAAGAGGTAATGGTTATAGAGCTAGGTTATACTCTGTGCATATTTTGTGGATCCCTGCAAGGATCTAATTTATGTACTGGGCTCATTCATACCACGTTCTGACAAGTATTTTCAATAACCAGTTGTAATGTGAAAAAATAGATTCCTATAAAACAAGAGATGCTGATATATTTGATTTTTTTAAACAGTTTTCTAGTCTTTTTTTTTTTCTCCCAGTGATTCCATCCAATCTATTTAAGGCCACTGAACTATGGTTTATAGTTCATTTAAACTATAATTTATCAGTCATTTGAAATTTAGGAGTTATGGAAAGACAAGAACTAGCTAATGTTACCTCTGACAGAAGGGGTCCGGATGAGAGCCCTGTTGCTGAGATGTCCTTTAGTAGCTGGGAAATGAAGACTTGGGATGGCTGCGTAGGCTTGAGGTGTATAGAATACAGGAGCTCCAAGGTAGGTTGTGGTAGGGTCATAAACATGGCTCAGAGGGTAGGTGTATTCTCCTTGCAGCATAGTGTTCCTGCCACCAGTGCCCCTGGTGTACCTAACGTAACTGTCCTTGTCCACTGGCTTGGCCAAGGTCACTTCTATTGGGGAACCATCCAGCACCTGTTGTAGAGAGTGAGGAAAAGCCAAGCTGAGAAGCCATCTGGCAACTGGGTATCATAAAACATGTCTACCATTTGCTGACTTGCAATTCTTAATGGTTTTGTCCTTTACCAGGTTCATGCTTCTGTATCAGTTGACTATTCTCTGAGTAGTCTTGTTGATTATTGCACAAGATGCCAACAGGCTTAACAATGCCATTTTGACTACTGAATTTATAATACAGAGCCAGTCACTGAGACACAGAATTATGCAATACTTTCTATTAAGTGTGATATCTGTGTTTAAAATTACATGCAAGTATAATAAGTTGGGGATATTTTTGGTTGGAATACAAGGTATGCAGCATGATAAAATAAACGTGATAGACACCAATAAAGATATCTTGTCATTTATTAGCACCATGGTGAACAAGTTCTGCCAGACTCAACAAATGGCTCATTCGTGCAGATACACAATAGGTATTTCCTAGAGAAGGAAGAGGAGCCTAGTTGGATCCTACTCAAGGAAAAGAACCTAGTAGATTGTTGTACTATTCACATAAAGCAATTGTTTGCCCTGCTGAGAGGTTGGAAGTTTTTAAACAAGGATGGCAAGGATTGGGATATAGGTGATAGGAATATTGAGAACTCGAAAGTCAGGTACCACTTAAAACATTTCCTTAAACTGAAGGAGCTGAAGGGGTTTGCAACCCCATGGGGAGAACAATATCAACTAACCAGAACCCCCCAGAGCTTCTAGGGACTAAACCACCAACCAAGAGCACACATGGAGGGACCCATGGCTCCAGCTGCATACATAGCAGAGAATGGCCTTATCTGGCATCAATGGGAAGAGAGGCCATTAGTCCTGTGAAGGTTCTATTCCCCAGTATAGGGAAATGCCAGGGCAGGGAGGTGGGAGTGGGTGAGTGGGAGAGTGGGTGGGGGAGCACCCTCATAGAAGTAGGGGGAGGGGGAATGGGATGGGGGCTTGCTTCCGGGAAATCAGGAAAGGGGATAACATTTGAAATGTAAATAAATAAAATATCCAATTAAAAACAAAAACAAAAACATGTCTTTAAGAATTTTTTCCAGTCTGAAATTACTTCTTTATTCTAGCCTAAGATTTAGATTCCTACCTGAAGCCTACTTCCTTGTCCTTGGCCAATGTCATATTCCTGCCAAGCACCCCATTTCCTTGTCCTTGGCCCATATCAGATTCTTGCCAAGCAGCCCTCCAAAAAGAAGTAATTTCAGACAGGAATCTAAATTTTAGGCTAGAACAAGGAAGTAGGTTTCAGATATGAAAATGACTTTGGGCTAGGACAGGGAAGTAGGCTCAGATATTTTGGTCATCCTGATAAGCCCTTAGAAACAGTGATCATGGGAGTGTTCACATAATTGGGCTTAATGCCTTGCTTGTTCTTTGACTATTTGTGTTTATTGTCTTGCTTGTTCCTTGACTATTTGCATCTATTGTATTGCTAGACCCTCAACCTAGAATTGACCTTAATACATGCATGTAATTAAAATGGTATAAAAACAAAAAGGAGGAGGGAGGATGGGATAGGGGATTCTAGGGAGGGGAAATGGGGAAAAGGGATGACACCTGAAATGTAAATAAAATATCCAATTAAAAAAAGATAAAAAAGAATTATTTCAACAGACAGGTGGCATACACCTTTAATAGCAGCACTAGGGAGTTAGACAGGAGGATCTCTCTGAGTTTGAGGCCAACTTGATCTATATAGTGAGTTCTCAGAAAGTCCAGACCACAAAGAGATATACTTCTCTACCTTAAATATCCAAATTAATTAGTTAATTAATTTTATCTTAGAAAAGAAAAAGGAAAGGAGCAATCTTGCTAGCCACCCTGTGACATTCCACCGGTCTCCTTAAATTGTAATATGATCACTATCTTACAAAAGATTGCCAAAGCCTAACTTCTTCTAATAAATATAAATACCCATAGGTATAATAAGCAGCTTAAGAAAACATATATATTTTATATTATGCTTAAACATAGCAGGTAATAGTATTTACTAGTAATGTTAAGCACATATTTAGCTGCATATTTGTAAACATTGTTATAAAAGTGTCTAGTACAAATAATAACTGAGTTTCCTAGCTGGATACAATGTGACTAGCCACCCTATGCTCCTTTCATCGCCTCCAGGTACATTGGAAGAAATAGTACGTGTAAGGGGGTTGATAAGTACAAAAACAATTCAAACTACTTTTAGTTACTTGTTTATTAATATTTTTCTGTAGATACATAACATTCAGAATGTGCTTATTAAAATATCCCAATATAATATGGTCACATAGAGACTGTTACAGTGAATACCACTGTTTCTGTCAGTAAGTCAGGAAAGAATTGGACTAGCTCATCTGCATCTCTCCCTCACCATGATGGACTATCTCTTCTTAAACTTTAAGCCAAAATAATGCATTTCTTCCTTAAAAAATGGGAATAAACTTGAACGCTTTTCCACTGGAATTATTCCAGCATATTATTCAGCACTGGGTTTATGATTGCTGGTCTTTCTCAGTAGATACCATGTACATTCAGGTGTGTTTATCAAGAGAAAGCTACCTTAAACATTGTTTTTGAAGTAGTATCATTTTAATGATGCTAACAGTAATCAATGAAGAAATAATATTTTGGTCATAGGGTACATTTAAATATCAATTGATTTATAAGACTTAAGTATGTTGAAGGTCTCTGTGGTTGCACATGCCCCAGTCTTCCCCATGTCTGAAGGAATCTATATTGGGAAGCATTTCCCTGTCCTTCAGATCCAGTTCCCACTAATGTCCAGTCTGTGGTCTGTTCGGTGATTATTCTATGTAAGTTCCTCTTCAGGCTCCTGGGCCCTCTACTTTGTCATTGAGTTTGGACAACAAGGAACCTTGGCTATGAGGGTAGGGATGAGACTACAGTGAATTTAGGGTGTGTTTTCCTGGCTTCCTCCCTGAGTTGTCTCCTCAGACCCACTGTATTCTTTGACCAAAGACCCAGCAGCCTTAGGGTGTGATTGTAGATCAGTGTTCCTTTCCAAGCAGCCTGCTCTCCACAGCTTGCTCTCATTTTGGTTTTCTACTCACTCTTCCGCTCCTTCTCTTGTGTCTTTACTGCCATAAATCGATGAGCTCTGGCGTCTTACCCTGCATTTTTGAATCCCCTTTTCTCACATTTGAGGAGTGAATTTATTTCTACCCATCCTCTACTGGAACCTGAACTGATAGAAGACTCAACGAGCACAGCAGTCTCCTGTGCATTGTGCTCTGACCCAATTTGCTGTTCTCAGATTTTCTCTTGATATTTCAAATTCTGTCATTAAGACAGGCTCTCCTGGCCATACCTTTTGAAAGTACATCCAATTTTCATAGGCTCTTTTGCACAGTATCTTCTCATCCATGATGGTTTTCTGAACATTGATGAGCCACTTCTTCATTTGAACTTACTTTTAAATATCTCCTAATAACATTGAGCTGACTATTTTGCAGAGGTGTTTGTGGCCCTGACATAGTTCTCTAGACTCTCAACTCTTTGACAAGCATCTTTGCTTTGATTAATTTTGCATCCTGGACATTACTAACCGATCAGTGGTCCATAGAAGGGTTTTAGCGTTTGATTGGTACAAATACTATATAAGTTTCTGAAGACAAATGGATGGTAGGAATACAGAAATTGATTTTCCCCTAGACTCTACTCTTGGTAAGGAGAGGAATCCTAAGCTTCCCTGTTGGAAAGATCAAATACTGAGATCAGAATAACAGCTATCTTGACATTTTTCTGGCTAATGTTCCTTAAATCAATGCATTATAAAGTGCAATACTTAGAAATAATTGGAACTTAGGTGGTATGGTGCTTTGAATGAGAATGTTCCCCATAGGCTCATGTGTTCCCATGTTTAGTTCCCAGTTGGTGATCTGTTTGGAAGGATTAGGAGGTGTGGCCTTGTTGGAATAGGTGTGTCTCTAGGGCTTTGAGGTTTCAAAAGCTCACACCAGGCCAAGCATCTCTCTATCTGCCTGATGCCTACAAACCAGGATCAAACTCTGTTTGATGCTGCATGTTTTCTGTCATGATGATAATGGACTCACCTCTGAAACAGTAAACAAGACTCCAATTAAATGGTTCCTTTTATAAGAGTTACCTTGGTCATGTTGCCTTTTCACAGCAACAGAACACTAGCGAGGACTAGGGAAACATCTGGAAAAACTTTAATCCCTTCTTCACACAAAAATTTGAGGCCAGTGACTTGTTCAAGTTGAAGTAAGTGTTAGGATTAGTTACCTAGCCACTTCCTTGTTCTCTGTCTTTTCTGCCATTTCTGTATTGTATATCCTCAAAGGATTGTAGCTTCTGTGTCAGTGATGGGGAAAGAGAGCTGGGTTAAGATGGACTCCAGAGATTCCTCTATGAGAGAGCATGCCCACACCAAACTTGGATGGAATCTTTATGCATTTTTCTCTCTTATGTAAATTACCTTGCCGTTCAAAGCCTTCATGGCTTCAACTGCATCTTCTCGGTTACTGAAATGCACAAAGGCGTAGTCTCGGATCTTCTTCACCCGTTCCACAGTGCCTGTAGATATAATGGCAGCAGCACCATTAGCAAACTTGGGACAGTGATGTGACTAGCTTCCAAGGGTATAAGCATCTATGAGACTTCTTTGTGTGTCTAGGCTTAGGGTTCTGTATAGTCAATATAAGCTTTTACTTGCCATAAAATGCTTATAATCTGATTTATTATAAATAGTTGGGAACTATGTTTTCTAATTCCCAAATTGTAAGAAATTTAAAGGTAAGAATGACATCTTAGTAAGGAAATATAAAAATATAAAAGGTAAGAAATATAAAAGATAATATTCTATACAAGGTAAAGTGTTATTAAACTGACTCGATATGCACATATATTATGCACACATATTTAGCTGATTTACTTCAATATGTATTGTATCTTGAGGGTTCAAAGCAAGGTATAGAAGTAAGAAAATGCAGTTGCAGCCAGAGCAGGAGGGTGAACAGGGAGCTACTGCATGCAGCCTTGGAGAGGAGAGGTGGGTGTATCCACTGGCTGCTGAAGTCTTTCCCCAGTCTCTGTTGTGGAGAAGAAACAATACAGTGCAATGATTCATGAGCGTGAGAGAAGTCACAATTTCCCAGCCTATTCCCATTGGTCAGATTTCACCCCAGGAGTATTAGCTGCTCCATCTACCCTCCCACCTCCTAATCTGTGTTAGTGTGGCTCTATAGAGTGCCTGATCCTGTGTCCTGTGGTGGAACATTCATCCAAGTCTGCTGGGAAGAGAAGGGAACTCAGAGGACATGGATAGACAATGCCACAAGAATGTGATGTGGTATCTGTGACATATCCTTCACAGCTCAGTACTATCTTCCTTAGTTCCAAGATGACAGAAGCACAATGTTTAAAGGCTTTTCACAAGGTCATTTACTGGTAAGTGATCATGAGGTCAGTGGAGTGTGATTCTTGACACCGTAGAAGCCTGTGGGAAAGACTTAACACACTACCATTAGAAACATCACACTCACTCTGCTGAGAATACCCTATTTTATTGTCTATAAAAGAAGTCTGGAATTAGGGGAGATTCTAGCAATGTGGTGTCCTAATTTCTGTTTATTTTATTTTTATCTAAATATGAGGAAGCTATGGTTCTAACAAAGGTGTGTTTATAATTCACATAGCACACAGCTAACTAAGGTCTAGAATCATATGTCTTATGCCCTTAATTAATATTTTTAAGTTAAAAAATGTTGCTTCTGAAAGACCATCTGAAATCTAACATAATTTCTGCCTGTAGTATTTGAAAGATTGGAAAAAATTACATATTTACTATTTCTAACTTATTTCTTTATACAGAAGAGTTTCTGCCTATGCACATATAAAGATACCAGTTATGCCACTGCAGAAATAGCAAAAACAATGCAAGACCCATTTTCTCAGAAATGATTAAATTTGGCACATTTGTACAAACTCCATTGAGTCTTTAAAGGGATTCAAGTAGGATTACATGTACTCACGTGGAAGGATTAAAACTCTATTGTCTATTTGTAAAATTTATAATGGGATAAAATATGAGTATCTGTTTTAAATATCTCAATCCACATATAAATACACACAAAATCAAGTATACCTATATCTAGAGACACCTGGAAAGGTGGATAGCAAACTGCTAAGTACAGTTACTTTAGGAATGGAGAAAAGTGCTGGGGAAAGTGAAAATAGTTTAGATATTTATTCTATTTTTAGTTACATGCATATGTGTGTATGTGAGTGCAGGGGCCTTTGGAGACCAGAAGATGGTGTTAGATTCCATGGAATTCAAGTTACAGGCATTTGTAAGCCAGCTGACACTGATGGTAGCAACAGAATTGAGGTCTTCTACAAGAGCAGTGTAAGCTTTCCAGCCCCATGAATGAAATCACTTTAACTGCCATGTTTTTATAAAGATCAGCCAAGTTAGTTTAGCTCATTGTGTGAAAACATCCAGAAAGCAACCTACCCTATTTTTATGTAGAAAGACCATTGTACATATTGATGATAACATGTTAAAAAAATTAGTTGTACAAAGATTCTTAATGTTATCTTTTAAGCACACTGTTGCTCACTCAGTATTCTAAACAAATATTTTCTTTAGTTGATGGTTAAGTGGAAACTTGACACTTGAGCATGCTGGTTACCTTTCAGCTGGTGTTGTTTTGAAAGGCTAGGTTTTCTTCATTTAACATGTAGTCCTCAGAGTCAACATGATGTAACATCATTCTCAGGAAGACAAGGAAGAGAAGAAAATCCTTTCCCTACCAGAGTTCAGATGCTCTCTCTGATTCAGGGTCACGCAAGCATTTAGAGCCCATACTCTACTGCATGGTTCAGTGACTACGAATTACCTCCCTTTGGAACTATGGGACACATGTAATCTAAGGTAAATTTTAAGTGACTGCAATAGTTCTCTTTAACTTTAGTAGCTTAAGTATCATAAAAAAGACCTCAGTGTCTCTTGACAATAATTATACAGAGCGAAATTATCTGGGCAGACTGAGAAAATGAAATAAAGGCATATGAGCCCATGAGGCATGGGGCATATGATTAACTGAGATGTTAGGTCAGTCTTAGTTCTTCAGTGTTGGATGGAATGGTGAGAAGGGCTTCACCTCACAGCTTATCTTGGTCAATGAGAATCAGGAGTCATCCAGGAAAGCCCCCATCCTTTCCCTCCACTCTGCTCTTCTGATCTATATTTTTCCAAGGGGGGGTGATGTTTGCTTTAGCTACACAAAATATAATCTTCACTTAGCTCTTCCTTAGTATCAATGATACATGAGGTAGTCTCTTAATAAACACACAGAACCAACATATTTGGTTCAATCCATTTCCATATGCCCCATAAGGTCATGTGAGTTATGTAGCATTTATGTTGATAACGGATTTGGGTATTCTGGAATTCTTGCTAATATTGAAATCATTATGCTTTTTTTTGAGCAGTAGTATTCAGACTCTGGTTATGGGAAGCTTCATTTTTGAAAATCTGAGCATAGAAAGTAAATTAGAAAGGAGGGGTTTGAAAAATACAACCTGGATGTCTCCCATCTAAATACCACCCTGGTTTAAACCTACTTAGAGACCAAACAAGAGGCACTGCATTCAGGGGTATATTCAGGGTTGACTGGCTTCTCTAGAATAGCAATGGCCATATGCTTTAGTATATTCCTTCCCACTGCTTGCTTTCATCATTTCTGGGTTATCTATCAGCAAAGAAGAACTAGATCTGTAATCCTAACACAGGAATTAGAAAAACACAGTCAAAGTGTTTACTCAGTAATATTAGCTGCACTTGGGAAATTAAGAAATACAAATTTGTGGACTCAACCAGATGGAGCAAGCAATCTTGTAGCAGCCCTTCAGGTGATTCTGCCTCTGTTAAACTGTTTAAGGGAGCAGATTTCATAGAATACCTTACTTAGCACTACAACAGATACTCTAGACTTCATGGGAACAAAGCATCAACGGCTCGAGGTTTCTGGGACGATTGTAATTTGTTGTTCAGAATATTGATGCAATATTTTCCTAGGTCAGTCAGGGTTCAAATGATATACAACGTCAGATTTTCAATGAATAATGAAGTTTCTCCAAAACCCAAATCTTTAAAAAGAAAAAAAAATTAATGTTATTTTTCTTTCCACAAAATTTTCCAATACAGTTTGGATACATTATATCATTGTACTGGGGAAGAGATTTGTGGATTTGTTTTTTTCCTCTCTCCATAGGAAAGATATCATCTAGTTGCTTTTATGCGTCACACACATCATGATAGAGCCCCAAGCATTGTGCCACTGGTGTAAGACGTGCCCCAGAATTGCTGGAAATGTTTTAGGCTGAAAATAAGGATAATATAGTACTATGCTGGAGGTAGTTACAGCTCAAGACATGGGAGGAGGTGGAGGAAGAAAGAGCAAGAGGCAAGAAGGAACAAGTTGGCATTCATTATTTTCTTACAGCTTCTAGGGCACTAGAGTCTAGGCATAACTATCTTAAATGTGCAGACTGGACTGATAAAATCATTTATTCTAAAAAAAAAAAAGAGTCAGTCGACAGTTTCTCATTCTAACGTCTTTCCAAACAAAGTGCCATTTTAACTGGAAGGGAAAGTAAGTATTATTCACTCTAGGAAAAAGAAAACCCAAGCTGGAGTGGATGAAACATAGACACATATGTACTAGTTCCCAGCGTGGACAGCCTCATTGAGGTTCATCACTTATCCATGAGTGTCTTCTCTTAGGACGTTGCTCTGCATTCCAAGAGCAGGATGACTTAGCTGTGACTTCTCTATAAATTCCTTCCACACACAGCTCACATCTGTTAATTCCTCCCCCAGTGCATGGCAGCTGCATGGATGAATGTGTGAAAGGAATGGGGACTGGTGTGAGGCTTCAGAAGGTTGATAATCTGGGGCCTGCCAGCTGCTAGCTGTGTGACGATTTAACTACACAGGACTCTGTTTTTCTCGTTATAGGAAATAGGAGACACCAGGAAGGAAACTCCAGGATAGGGCATTGTGATGATAAATGGCATGCGATGTGAACACGCCCACTCTAATTCTAGAAAAATTTTTTTTTCAGTTTCTGTAGTAACTCTGGGTTCACAGCTGTTGGTATGTAACCACACCATGATACTGAATGTCAGGGAAGGCAGAGTTCTTGAGGATGAAGGAAGATATGTGTTTGAGAAGTCACTAAAAGGAAAAAAAATCCTGCTAATTATCTGTAGGGAAAATTATACGCTTACCATTCTAGTATACATGTAATGTCATATCCACGTAGAGTTGGAAACAGGCAATCTGAGACTATGAATACTGTCAGGAGGCTTAATATGGCAGCATCATGGCCCATGCTTGTTAGCATCCTATAGAAATTGCCAGAAGCCCAAGAAATTCTCAGTTATGGGAAGATGTTTCTGTGATAGACACAGGCTGGTATGAGTGAGGACATTCCCAGATGTATGAATGGGAAATGTCAGGAGATCCTTTTGGTTGTCACCTGAGGCAGGTTGCTATAGCTGACATGAGGTAGGCATGGACCTTGCATGTTGTTCAATACCCTGAAATCTACTAAGGATGATTTGCTCCAAAATGTCAGTAGCAAAGAGGTTGGGAAACCTGTGTTAGAGGTTAGACCTCCAGTAAGAGCCAGTTATCATTAGCATAGAGAATATTTACTTTGTTCTTAGTCTGAGGGTCTAGGGACAGAGAAGCTAATTAGAAGGAGAAGAACTCAAAGAATTTAGTTTAGCAGAGGTGTGTGTATTCATTAAATAACTACCGGATAAATATAAACCACAATATTCCTAAGTGCCGTAGGACCATATGTCTCTTTTGGATCCAAAAATGGCAAAATATCTGAACAGTACACAACCGATTAGGAGAAGGAGCTAAGTAAAAGCTGTTTTCTTTAATGTTGTGGGTAATGGCCCCCAGCATAAGTTTTTTTAAGCACATTTTGAAGGAGTAATTGCACATGTGTCTCTCTCACCTGGTTTAATACTGTTGAATTCCTTTTCAATCATCTCTTCCGAGGTAGACAGCATAAGGTTTCTTACATACAGGATTTTCACAGAAGACATTGTGTCTTCATCAACTTCAACTTCTGGCTCTGCCCAGTCTACTGCAATAGGATGTCCCCACAACTGAATTCTTCCTGTTGACAATGATCAGAAGAGTGATGAATTATTTAGAAATCACAACATCATCTCAGCTCATGCTGATGGTCTTTTAAATTGAACTGACCGTTAAGGTCCTAAATGACCAAGACCGCTAAAAAAGATTATTATTGATTTTTTAAGACATTCAAATAAAGCGAGAGTCTGATAGAAGAGTCTTCAGTGTGCCTAGTGGCTTATCATAATGAGTGAATGTATAGAGAAGCAGGATGTGGTTTGAAATGGAGGAGTGAGGAAGTGGTGGGTACATTTGACTCTCAGGACAGCTTTTACACGGGGGGAGGTAGTTTTTAAGGTGAGATAATAAAAGGGGAGAAAGAGCAGATTTAGTGCTCAGACACAGAGTCTGACTCCATGAAGCATTAAGAGGTCACGTGGACAGCATCCGCTGTAGTTGGAATGTGTCTTCTATTAGCCAGACACCACCACTGAGACATACACAAAGCAGCTAGGGTGGATGGGGCCAGACATTCTTTGTTCTCAGCCTCTCATAGATGATCCAGGGCTCAGACCAACTGTGTTCCTTCAACATTCTCAGTCTGAATACAGGCAATGCGGGAACCCGGAGACAACATATTTTCAAAAATCCCAATTCAGAGAAGAAGACTAAGGAAACAGTTGATGATAAGAAATTTTAACTTGTCCTCTTAAAAGAGTGGGTGTTACCCAAGTCAGCAAGGGTTCCTGTACCCTGCGGTGGTAACTTACCGGATGCTTCCTACTAAACTGTGTGTTTCCCATGAGCCTCTCAGTTCTTTCTTAACATGAAAGAACAAGACTTTGTGGAAGGAGGGGGCAGCACCCATTTTATACTGCTTCAAAAGGTTGTCCCCAAATAGTCGTTTCCCATTACTACTTCTTTCCCCTTTGGTTTTTGCCACCAGCCTGGAGAGGTGGGATAAGGGTGAGAAATCAACTCAGTTTCTGCATTTTATAAAAAAATCTGTTTTTTTTTTTTTAAATTCAATGTTTGGAAGCAAGCTGTATCTTGTAGGGAGCACAGAACTGGACAGAACAAAAATCAGAAATTATTGGTGTTGGGAAGGATTTATTGGTGTAATTATTACATGGGGGAAGCAAAAATTCATCCTTTTATTTCTTAAAAATCAATCATGGTCTTTGACAGAATGTGCCAAGAGCATACATCAGAAAGTGTAGACTCTTTAATAACTAGCACTAGGCACCATTGGGCATAGTGGTACTTGTGATGCAGAGGGGGGAGGAGCTCAAGTTTGGGGTTAGGCAGTGCTAAATAGTATTTTAAAAATTGCTGGGTAAATAGGTATCCTAATCCACATGTGGAAACCAGACCTCTATTCTAAATCATATAGAAACAGTAACAGAGACTGGAGAGACGGCTGTTAGCATTAGAGCTGCCCTCTAGATGACTTGCTTTCAATTCTGAAAGCCTATGAACGGCTTACAACTGTCTGGGAATCAGATGAGGTAAAGAAATGAAGATGTGGGGGAAGGGAATCCGCTAAAACACTCTGAAGATGTCCCAGTGATACCCAATGCCTTAAATGCTAACTTATAAAGAACATATGCAGAGCTAGGACATAGCTGAGTGGCAGAACGTTGGCCTAGGTAGCTTAAGACCCTCTGTTCAATCAACATCTTCATTAAAAATAGAAAGTGCAGTCAAGAAAGACTGTATAAAGTCAAAATAGATTCGGAGTTTTGTCCTCTTCCACCTGCCCCCATCTCTCAAAATTTTCATAGGAGTGGACCCTGGTGTGAAGCTAAGCTAGATCACTGGTTCTCAACCTGTGGGCCACATGTCAGAGTATCCTTCATAGTAGTTATTTATATAATGAGTGATAGCAGTAACAAAATTACAGTTATGAAGTAGTAATGAAATAATTTTATGGTTGGGGTCACCACAACATGAGGACCTATATTAAAGAGTGTCAATATTATGAAGGTCGAGAACTACTGGTCTAGATAGTTTCTTCCATTAATATGAATTTACTTTAGCATTCGACTATGCTAAATTTTCGGGAGTATTTTACAGCAGGCCAAGGAAATTTGCATATTTGCCTGCTTTGGTCTGACTCAGGTAGTATCGGCGTGTTGTTAAACTCAAGAATTGATGCGTGGTGTCTGGAGTGCCTAAATAGAGGCGTCCAGGAAGAATGTTCATGTTTCTTATCTCCAATTAGATAGAAATGATTAGAAACTAGAAAACACTTTGAAAGCGTGTCTGTCAGTTATCCTTGGGTTGGCGTGTGTCTATAATGTGAAAGGCAAAACTGCCTAATTCTATCTAGACTGTGAACTTAATCTATATGCAGCTATATCCGTGATGGATTTGTTTAATCTTAAAATGTTTCTTAACTGAGGAGTCTCTGTAGGATTGCTATCGATCAAAGTTCTCCTGATGCGCAGATGTATAACTTTCCCAAACATCTATAAAAACTTTATGGAACCGACTCATCTGTGAGAGAAATAAGATGAAGAGCTTAAAGGCAACAGGGAAGCACATGCCGGGGTCTACTACGTGTTTGGAGTCCCTATTCAGGAACGAGGCTTACCTGGAAGCAGTCTCCGCCTCGCCATGGCAGCTGCACGGTGACTCTCGTATTCTACAAAGGCAAATCCTCGGTTTTTGGTTTTATCGGCAGCGCTTGGGTAGACAATGACATCAACGACTCCTTCTGTGACCTTTTTCATCTCTGATAAGATTTCTTCTCTCTTTTTGGTTTTAGGGATTCCTCCTACAAACAATCGGCAGTTGTCTACACTGGCACAGACTCCCAGGAGACGGCCGTTCCTAAACCGGGGGGAAAGCAGTTTTCATAGGTAAGAATCGCTGTGTGACCGAGGGCGGTGGCAGAGGTCACACGTGTATAACACTTTCAAAGACAATATGGTTTCTTTAGAGGAAAATGTTTCAATATAGACTGACACTCCTCTCTTCTTTTCTTTTTTGGTACCAGGACCGTTGCGTATGCTACGCAGATTCTTCCACTGACCTCCTATAGATATGCAATTTTAACCTCCAAACATTTTAAGAAGGAAGACTAGACGAAAAGCTGATTGGTACCTGGCCTCTTTAGACTGAATTTAGATTCACCGCTCGACATCCATTTTCTCTACATTCTGATGTCTCAGCGCCGAGTCATATACTGGGTGGGCCCCGTTCCTGACTTCATCTACTCAATCTGTGCTACTGGAGTCTGCTACTCCTCATGGTGCATGTACGTTACTGCCAAGTCGAGGAGCTGCTCTGATGTGATTACCATTAAAAATGCACCCCCATCCCCAAATTACAACCGGCAAGCAGTATAGATCAGTGGGTAATGGTGCAGGTTTGTAAGTGTGAACATCTGTGTTCTATCTCTGGACTCAACATGGTGGGAGGCTAGACCGAATTCCCACAAGCTGTCCTTTGACCACCACACTCATGGTGTGCATGACACACACAGACTAAATAAAATAAAATAGAAATAGTTTCTCATCTAATACAGATTTTCTTATATTATTTGTCCCATGCAAAAATAAGCCTGGAAGATAAGCAAACTAGGTGTTATTTCTATTTTATAGACAATGAGCTTGAGATTCCAAGATTTGGGTAAGGCCTTATTGATTCTGAGAGGTGCAACTGGCCCTGGGGCCTCTGTTTATTCTACTTTACAGAGCTGCCTATTAGTAAGAGGAAGGATGCCCACCTTGGTACAGATGATTGACAAGTTTTAGGTGTCTATAACTGTTGACTACACAGCGCCTCTCTGGAAGAGACCCTAACAAACAGAGGTGAGGCCCAAGCCATAGATATGAAGATGGTCACTATCAGTTAAAATATCATCCAAACTAGAAAGGAGCAGTGTCTCACACTACACTGCATTACACTATAATACTCTGAGGCAGCTTCATTGAGATGACATTTTCTTGTACCTGGACGTTGCCCCATTGTGGACTATAATATATTATCCTCAGTTCTTTTAAAAACACTTCCCTGCTCTGATGTGTATGAGTATTTTGCCCACTTGTATGCATGTATGAAGAAGATACACATGCGTGTATGAAGAAGAGGATTTTGGATCCCCTGGGACAGGGGTTTCAGACAGTCGTAAACCATCATGTGGCTGCTGGGGACCAAACCTGGATCACCTGCAAGAGCAGCAAGTGCCCTTAACTCCCAAGCCATCTCTCCAGGCCACCACCCCTGGTTTTGGACCGCTTTCTACCAATAGACAATTGTCAGGTCTTCCAAAAATGCCTTCTCCTTTCTAAACGTGTCTTAAGAGTGGACATTGTTGCTTCTGGCTGAGACCTTTCATGCTTTCATGCTGAAGGATGCTCTATAGCCACTAACAGTGGCAACACAGAAGAACATTTAGAAATTAGGAGGCACTTTACATTACACTCAGAGTTTGTTTGATTGCTTTATTTTTTTGAAGGTAAGAATAAGTGTGTGAGGCTGTTCTATTTTTAAAGAACTATGTAGAAAATATTGAAAGACAACCAAAGGTTGACAATGTATTTTATTTAGGTGGTACCAGGGTTGCAGATGAATAGTTTTAACTTTCTCACCATTCGTCTTTTGATATTTTTTATGTGTTAAGTGTTAGGCTGGATTTTTATAAATAATGAATTCATTTTATAAATGAAAACAGTGAGGTGTCTTTACCAAAACCTCCTTGTTTGTCATGAGTTAAAGGTCTTCTCTAGGCAAGTGGGAGACCAGTCTGATTTTCTTGGAACTAGTGGCTCTTAGTTGTGGGGCAGGTGTTCTGACCTGGCTGGTCCCTGGTTATTGCTTATCCTTTGCCAAAGAACCGAGGGCAGGAATGAGAATTCACAAGCTCTTCTCACTCTTGGGACATTCCCCAGAGAGTGTGGTTTCTTGGGGAGGGTGGAGACCAATAAGGTGATTTTCTTGTTGGTTTCCTGGTTTGTTTGTTTATTTCAGTCAACTTTATTTAGTAATGAGCTCATGTATGTCAAGCTGGTTGCAAATTCACTATATAGCCAGCTATGACCTTGAACTCCTAATTCTTTTGCCACCCCCAAGTGCTGAGATTACAATTGTATCACCATACTGGCTTATGAGATTCCTGGATTAAAACCCAGGCTTTGTGCATGCTAGGCAAGCACTCTATCAAATGAGTTGTATCTCTAGCCCCTAGTTATGTGAGTTTTAAATTTTACTTAAGAAAGCACAAATATCTCTCTCACGGATTTAGAGATCATCTGTTTTGTTTTGTTTTCTTGATGGTTAGTGGGCTATGTTCTGATATCATTTGCTAGCAGGAGAGAGTCTAGAATTTCTAAATGTGTATGGCTGGTCAACATCCTTTCCCAGAATTGCCTGGAGACAAAATACATTTTCTCACAAGCCAAGGACATGACTTTAATGTCTCCAGAAGCCAGGCGTTTAGAGGATGCTCAGTGAATATTTGATGGGGAGGAAGATGATGTGATAACTGCAGGTCTTTTCTGGGTAATAGCTTCATTACTCCCTTGAGAAATGGTGGTTGACAGCAAAGTAAAGTGTATTGTTCCTTTCTGGTAGGAAGGTTTCTCTCTCTGGCAGATGGACCACAGCAGAGTGCAAGTCGTGAAGGCAGCATTGTGGTCTTTTCTTGACTGGTTCATGTTGAATTTATCCAACTCCCTGATTTGTAAAAATCCTCTGTGCCTTTACCTTGCTTTTGGTTTCCAAATGGAGATTTGACTGCTCTTGGATACTTTCTTTCCAAATTACTATATTTCCCCCCTTTCTCTGCCCTCCCCACCAGTCACCCCCGCAACTGCCAGTCAATTTACAGAGCACCCAGTCCTTTGAGGGCGAGAGATTTAAGTACCTTATATTTATTATTTGTATGATACCCTGTGAGAAAGAAGTAGTTTTTATCTGTTTTATAGAAAAGGTAGTGAGATTCACTGAGGAGATTGTTAATGAACACTCACTCTGTAGCATGGTGGTATTTATTTCATATCTTCTCTATTTTCAATAGCATTGGCATGCCCCAGTGAGTAACCATGGGTTGAGTAGATACAACTAGCTGTCAATCGCCTGCATAGTCAATTCCACATATGTTTCAAATCAAAAACATCCTTAAGATTACCCTTACTGATAAGATGTCTATATTTCAGAGAAGACTGAGAAATGCAGAATCCTCTCATTCCTGAAACCATATAACTAGAATATATACTTGGTTGGAGTGACTACCTTAGTCTAGGTGAATGTTTTTAAAAATGGTATAATTTTAAACTTTATTTTAAAAATATTTACTTATTTAATTTTATGAGTATATATGAGTACCTACATGTGTGTATGTGTATGGTGCCTGTGCCTGGTGCCTGAGAGAACATAAGACGAGGTCAGGGCCCCTGGAATTGGAGTTACAGACAGTTATTATTCTCCATGTGGATGATGGGAACTGAACCCAGGTCCTCTGCGAGAGCTTCATATGTTCTTAACCACTGAACTATCTCTCCAGCCCCCTGTATATTTTTTATTCGTGATTGCATTATAATAAAGTGAATTTTTTATAAAGCAAGTTGAATGACAGTTTTGTAAAGCCCTTTCCAAATTTGTCAGTGTAGATTATTTTTGAATGATATTTATAGCATCATTGTGTGATATGATCAAGTACAAGGATAAAAGTGATGTTCTAGGAAGTCAAAGGTTTTACCAAAGGGAAACAAAATGTCCTCAGGTCTCCTGATTGGGAATCCAGTTTTCTGCACACCACAGAGATTTCTTTTAGTTCCATAGAGGCTAGTGTGGGAGAGGAGGCCTATTTGTGCTTCCTCTCAGACTAATCTAGAACCCAACATTGGACCTGACCAGCTAAGGCAGTAAAGGTTGCCACACCCAGTCATTCTTCATGTAGCTAAAGAGTTGAAGATAGTTGTTAATTTCTTCCCAGGATTATGAGGATGATTTGTGATGCAATGTACTTTCTCATAAGAAGTAGGAAAATACTAGAGAGGAGGCCACTCTGTCTATGGTCATCAAAGTTAAGATTTCAATAATTTTGCCGGGCAGTGGTGGCACACACCTTTAATCCCAGCACTTGGGAGGCAGAGGCAGGCAGATTTCTGAGTTTAAGACCAGCCTGGTCTACAGAGTGAGTTCTAGGCCAGCCAGGGCTACACAGAGAAACCCTGTCTCGAAAAACCAAAAAAAAAAAAAAAGATTTCAGTAATTTTAAGGTTTGTCCACATTACAGAAAAGGGAAAAATTGATAAATGTGGAAACTGAATCTTGGAGTTGAACTGTGGTAACTTTTATCACCTGTTGGCTACTATGTCCTAAATAACACATTAAGTTTTCAAAACTCATTGACTTAGCTTTACAATCAAACCTGGGAAATGGATATAGTCTCCACTTTATAGATGAAAGTTGGGGCTGGAAAGATGGGTCAGTAGTTGAAGCATGTATCACTCTTGCAAAGGACCCAATTTGGTTCCCAGTATCCATGCAGGGCAGCTCAAAACCAGCTGTTACATCCCGCCACAGGAGATCAGGTGCCCTCTTCTGGATTATGCATGCACACATGTATATGGACACATACAAATGTGCACTCACACACACATATACATACTCATACATAAACACACACATAATTAAAAATAAAGCAAACCCTAAACAAATGACATTGAGTCACCAAGAAGCAATTACTCGCTGGCCCTTAAGTGAAGCTTGGCTGACCCAAAGATTTAGCTGTTGGATAGTTGTTCCTCACCCTTCCAGGTGGTCCAGGGTTTCGTTAAGAAAGGATTTAAGGCAGGTTTTATTCCTGATGATGTTTTTAGAAGACAGTCTTATAGAAACAGGTTATTGGTTATACATTATCAGTTATGCCCTCCTGTGGTCTCATGGTTTAAAATGATGCAGAAAGGCTGTAACTGTGGCCCTTCTTCTGCCTCAACTCTCATACACACACACTATACCTTGCCTGGGGCATCTGATATGCATGTTTAAGGTCAAAGACTTTAAATAGAACACTTCACATGCTTCCTGTTTTTCCCTAGTCTCTCTTTCCCAATGGCGCACCCACTCTCACAGATACTTGGAATCGAATCCCAAGCTATTTGCCTAAATTCTGAATGTGATATCGAGTCATCCTGCTCCTCTTTTCTCTCTGGTTCTTAACCTTTTTTATCCTTTTGCTTGTGATCACTCATTGAGTCCCTGTCATTCCTTGTTTAAATCTAGAATGTGCCTCAGCCTTGGACAAGGTTTCCCTCTTTCAGGCTCTGCTCTACTGTAGTTGGCTGTCTACCCAACAGCCGTAACAATGCTTTAAAATTCATAAAGTCATTTAAAATGATCCTCCAGTTCCAGGTCTTTATATAAATGGGTTCAGATTCTTCAGCAGGGAGGATGTTCTCTAACTGTCCTGCCTTTAACCATTTCTTTCTTTTTCCCCTTCTGGGTTTTTCTTCCTGTCTTTCAAACACATCAAATGTCAATTTTGTTTTAATTTTAGGAATTTTGTATTTCATTATGTTGTTTTCTTTTCTTTGAATTACCTTGTTTGGGGTCTGACTGTCTTGACTGCATTTTTCATCCAAATACCAGATCAAATTTTACTTTCTCATAGACTATTTTCTTAAAACCACCAAATTCAAGTAAGCATTCTCTCCACACAGCCTTCCACCTCCTCAGTTTTATGTTTGCAAGTTATTTATTTAATCTTTTATATTTGTGGTCTATGGGAACAGAGGATATCTTGATATATTAATGAAATTAGTTAATTAATAAGTTTTATCTCTGTGGACTTTACACCCCATACAGTAATGAGATTAAATAAATGTTTAACCAGGTCATTTTTAGCGAAGAAAGACCTAGCATTTTATTCCTAGTTTGGCTGACTATACATTATCTTGATAGAAAACAGATGCAGGTGCAGTTTTGGAATCAACTTGTGTCTAGCAGATGAGGAACTTACCGAATTTCATAATTGTTAAGTTGCTTGATTGCGTTCTTGGCTTCCTGCTTATTTGAGAATGTTACAAATGCATAGCCTCTGTTGTTACCATTAAAATCCATCATCAATCTCATTTCATAAATTTTACCAATCTGTAACGAATAGAAACAGAGCATCCTTATTTACATATCTATACTCCCGAATGTATGTACATCACGCACACACACACACACATACACACACACACACACTTGATACTTGCCGAATTGCCTCCTGCCATGTTTGGCATTTGTAGCCATGGGGAGTGGTTCGCATACTTTTATGCTGGCTTCAGATTAATTATCTAACTCATGGGAGAAGTTGAGTTAAATAAAGAAAATATAGAGAAATGGCATTTCAGCCTCAGCTAACAGAATGTACTTTTGGCTGAGCAAATGACCTTTGTCATACAAGTATCTGGAAATTTATGTAATGTCTTGGGGACCCAAAAATGCATTTGTCATCAGAAGCACGGTTTCCTGCTAGATTTGCCCATGCCTTCTGAGTCGTTCTCTAACGTCTCCAGGCTCTGACCTTTACTTAGCTATGCTCTGTCACTGACATTTATAACAGGAAACGAGGGTGCTCATTTGGGACCTTGCTAACCTAACTTCCTGGCTGTCTTTTCCCCACTGCTATGATGTCAGAATGAGTACAGCGTATTTCATAGGTGGCCTGGGGAGCACTCTTACGTTAGCCATTTCTAGGAGGAAAAGGAATGCTAGCCACAATACAACAATCGAGGATCAGAGCCTCATAGAAAAGGGCACTTGTTCTCCCATTTCCCCTGCTTGCCCTTACTCTCCTTCTGTACTTCAACTATCGTGAGTAATGCGGGCCAAGTAGTTTATTACCTCTAGTTTCTGTAAGCAGGGTGGTGCAAATATATAGACTAGGCATACGTGAAGAGATGCCCTTAAGCCTGCACATTACTTCAGTGCTTGGCTACTTTCTGCTTAGCCTTTCTCTTCTGAACTCCATAGGACTCACTGAGGAGGATCTATTTATTCTTCATGCAACATGAGCACAGTTTTTACCTGTTCCATGTGTCCGCCATTTTCAGGAGTTTTAGTATGCCAGCTAGGATTCTGTGTATAAACCATGGGCTCTGGTTCAGAGACTACACATGCTAACAATTGATTTTTGTCAGGTAGGGTAAGAGCCAAATTCTCATATTAAATGTGTGTGCTGAAAAAAATACACCTAGTAAAGTGTTACAAATTAATTTTCAGATTGTGTTCTTTCTAATTTTGAGTTTAGTTTCAAGATGCCACTTGGAACGAGGGAAATGTATTCCTTCATAGTCATATGAGGACATTGAGTGATCATGTTCTTAATCTGTTCATTACATTAACTAAGACAATTCTACTTGCAGAAGAAAATTTTATTTTTGTCAATGTATATAGATACATAATTAAGCCATGACAAACATACATAATTTCTTATGTACAATGCTGTTCTTTATAAAGTCATAGCAAGATGTCAAATTGGAGCAATATCTTATTGTTGGCAGATTGCTACTCTGCTCTGTATTGTTAAATATACTGAATTTGCAGTGATTGAGCTGCCAGTACCCAGGCTGGAGGAAGAGATATGAATTTGGTAGTTGTCAGCAGTTGTCAGAATTCAATTCATCATTTCAACAGGACAAAGAGCTGGGCAGAGGCACTAATAAAGGGGACAGTCATTGATGTCCAGGGAGATTTTAACACTGTCCATATTTGATGTGTGGGGCTTGGGAGAGAACCATCAAACTGGGCACTGGAGAGATGGCACACTGGGCAAAGTGCTTGCCATACAAGCATGAGGATGTATGTAAAGCCAGTTGCAATAGCACACATCTGCAGTCCCAGGGCTTCTACAGTGATCTGGGATTCCAAGACGGGAGAAATCTGGAAGTTCATGAACCAGATAGCCTTGCATGTACAGCAGTAAACAATAAGAGACCCTGACTCAAACACAATAGAAAGAGAAGACAGATACTACTGGTGCTGTCCTCTGGCTTCTACGCATGTGGATGAGGCTTTCATCCACAGTCACACATATGAGCGTGCACACACACACACACACACACACACACACACGTGCACGCACGCACGCACGGACGCACGCACACACGCACACACGCGTACACACACACATACACACACACCATACACATACATCATACACAGAGATTTAAAGAAAGGTGAAAACAGCAAAACCAAACTAAAGAGAATGATATTTTTCCTCTGAAAGAAGAAATTAAAGTTGGACTCACTTTTTCACACAATGGTATGAGTTCATCCTCAAAAAGGTCCCGGGGAAGTTTCCCAATAAAAATCTCGCAGCCCCTTTCTGGGGGCGTAGCATCCCAGCCTGGCGGAGGACCACCATATTTTCTTTGTCCGTTTTCCTGTGTGTTCAGGGAAGAATGGTGTATGAGAGAGAAAGGAAAACAACAAAATCTTTGGTTTGTTTTTCTCATGTTTAAAAAAATCATTTTAGTTAAGGGCTATTTGGGGAAATATTTGAGATTGTCAAGTAATAATAGTTGATTATCTGGAAGATCAAAGTTAAAGACTTGTTTATGCCCAATGTAGCACTTCTCTGCCTCAAAAGCTTTCTCGAGATAAGCTGGCTGACACATAAAGTACTGAACAATAGAAGTTATTCAAGGATATATTTACATGATTCCTTATCAATTACAATGTCTTAGAGTGAGAGTATCCACTACAAGTCTGGGGAGAGAGCTAAAGTCTGTGGTGCTGTGTTTTTTTGCGTTTTAAGAAATTTATGGTCTTTGACATTTCATTTTACTGTGGTAGAACACTTAAGTGATTCCTAACTTCTTAACAATTAAGGAGATCGTTTGTTCTACTGTTGTAGGAATGTCCCAAAGGCAGGTTATTAAATGATCAATTATAATTGATATCAGGGCTCTGGTTTAATGTTAGAGTTGTGTGTAGTGGCAGCACTGTTAGACTGGATTGTTTTGACTTTGTTCATCACTAACTAGCTGTGGGACTGAGGGTCTCAGCACTTTAGTTTTCTCATGTGCAAAGTATCGGCTACAGCAGCCTTTGTTCAAAGGGTAACCTACGTTAACTAGGCACGGCTTGGCTCTTGGCCCAATACTCAGCTGTTACTAATTCTTTTTTCCCCCTTCTTTCCTAAGTCAAGTCAGGCAATGGAGAGACCCTCTAAATATTAAAAAAATATGAAGATCAACACTTGGAGATGTGAACTGGGTAATTTTTGGGATAACTGCTGAGGGATTTAAGTCTGCTTCCAAAGATGACAAGATAGTAGGGTACGTTTTCTAATGTTGTTCTTTTATGTGAGGAGCAGCAATATTCTCAGTCCAAATAGAACTGACTTCTATTTTTTTCCTCTCTTGACCTAATAGAGGTTCTTTTAGGAGAAGAATGATACTGGCATTTTCTTCCAGTGACAACAATCTGTTTTCCTTGGGAGTTAAAGATCAAAGTTTGGGCACAATCCAGTGCTGCTTGATGCTGCAGTTCATTTGCTGGGGGGAAGATAAAGAAGCCACACTGTACAGCAGCACAGTTAGAACTCTATATCTTCACATTATACTATGACTATTAAAGGGGCCAAAGGTTGGCATTCATCACAAAAGTCAGCATTAATACATTAGGCAGTTTTGTGCCAGGATGCATGGAGTTGTGTAACAAATGTAATATACAGCAGAGAAAGAACAACATCCCACTGTTTCACTCCACCCATCCTCAACAGCAGCTACGGGCAGACACTTCAGTCTGCCTTTCCAAATGTTTTCAATGTATACTTTAAAAAGGTATGTTTTAGTTTAAAGATATCATTTTGCGAGGTGGCTGTTTGTTGCTTAAAATAAAAATAAGTCAGCTTGTAATTCCTCTTTTACTCTCTGTGTATACCAACTGTAGACATCGTTTGTTCGGAGTTTGCCCTAATGCTCTTTGGATTGCAGTATTTAAAAAAATGTCTGCAATCAGGTTCACCTTTATATTCTTAGTATTGCATTTGATGTTGCTTTAAATAATAAAACAAAAGGATGCCTGGGTTACGTTTTTGCTTCAAGCAATTGAGCAGGCTTCATCTAACTAAATCTCACCTTTAACTTAATTTAATCTAATTGTAATTTCTTATCCTATAGTCTTACTCTAGCAGGAAAACCTTGATATCACTAACAAACCAGAGAAATGACGTATTTTTATCTTTTTAGTAAAACAACAACAAAAAGTATGCCCCTGCCAAGAATGTGATATCTATAGCTCAACCAAGAGTTTTCTAAACATATCAATTTGACATTTGTGAAGATGATCAAAGTTTTATTTTTTTGTTTTCCAGCTAATACCTGAATATCAGCTGCTGTATGCCACATAGTATCCTGGCCTCAAAGCAGTGTTTGGTCCAGGAGCCATAGCTGTCCCCATTTTATAGAAGATAAAAGGTCAGAGAGTAATTTGCTAAGGTCATAAAACTGTTGTGTAGAGAAGGCAGAGTTTGAACACAAGAAGCCAGCCTCAGTTTATCAGCTTAATTCACACATATAGTACATAATTACATAGTATATGTAAGTTATGTAACAAAATATGTAATTATATATTACATAATCGTTACATATTATGACCTTAATGTTAGAAAGCCTAGGGACATACAACCAACATAGACATTAAACTCAACATTTGAAAATGTCTTGTTGTGGGGGAGACAGGGAAAGGGGATAACATCTGAAATGTAAATAAATAAAATATCCAATAAAAAAAGAAAATGTCCTGTCAGGAAGGAGAAAGTGTCCTGCCTCACTTAACACTCTTTCCAATTTCCAGTCACTCAATTACACAAAATTCTGGGGAGAACATATCTTACACTGACTGTGTAAGATACAGGTATATAAGCTACAGAGGGCCAAATTATTAAAGCTGAACACCACTCTCTCCCTGGGCCAGATCTTGCTATTTGGGTGATAGCTGTCCCTGCTATACTGTTTCCTGTGAATTTCAGATATTTATAATGCCCAACTAGTTGTTAGAATATACAATATAAATTTGGCCAATATTTTTACCCCTCAGAATGAGGAAATCAAATTCATATTCCCTAATGGCAAAGTGGCGTCTGGAATCTTTGATTTCACAAGACTTCTTTGACTTGAAAATAAATAAGCAATAAGCAGATTGACCTTTTTTGAAGTCTCATTTCTATTGTCTTGACTGCTGTAGTTACTAAAAATACGAATGTGTACTGTATGGGTATCAGAACTCCATTTGCTCATGTGGTTCAGAAGCTTATTAATTGTGTTTTTGTGGTTTCTATAAACACATGAAAAAAATGCCCAATAATAGTCTTGGGAATTGCAGAGTCAGACCAGTTTAGCGATGCCCTGAAGTTCATGCAATGGTGAGCATTTGGCCTGGGAACCACCCACCAGGCTTGGAATGCACCAGCGGGAGAAGTTCAGAGCAATTTGAAGCAAGCCTTGGGCATTAGTCACGGGGTCAGAATAGCTGTCCATTACTCTGAAAGGACAGTGGGCTGATATTTCAGGCCCTATTTTTATAGTTGAGGAGTTTAAAATAGGTAAAGCCAGACTAGAACTGTGCTTTCCCCCTTCTGGCTCGTATCCTCCGGGCCTTACTCTCCTCAGCAACCCAAATATATTAATAGTTTAGGGAAACAGATTAGAGATATTTCCTTAGAGTCTTTTTATAAGTGAGAAGATGTTTATTAAATACTGGAAACTTTTACCTTTCTTTATAATCAGGTCTGTAAAATATTTTCTGTTTCTTCACCCCCATAAATAGGCAGACAACTTTTAACTGCCTAATTTATTCTATTACTCAATTCTAGCTACAAATCCTGTTTCTTTTTTTATGTACTGCATGCCAAGGCTGCCTAGTAACTCAGTTTATATCAATAGTGTTTGGAATTTCCTCCTTCTCAGATATTTCAAGTTTTTCTTGATGAAATTATGGCTACCATCCTCTTGGCCCTGCTTAAAGCCAGATAACTTTGTTTAATGGATCATGCTGTGCAATAAGTCTTAGAATTAATGCTAAAAATTTATTTTGTCCACCACACATTGGAACTTTTTGTACATTTGGGAAAAAATACCTTCTGGAGGTTTTAAGAATGTCAGCTATTTGCGTTTCTATCTTCCCTTGCAACTAGGACAGCCATGGTTTTATTAGTGATAAAATTGAATTCTGGCACAATATTTTAATAGTTCACACTTCAGTGTTGAGCACTTGGGGATGGTGGGTTAATTTTCTCATAATTATAAATCTGTGATGTGCCTTTGGCTTTCATACAGAAGGATATCCCCTTAACCTGATTTTCAAAATTTAAACTTTTAGCAGCAACTATGGGTGGATCCTTTTGAAACATAAATATATGTTCATATGAGCAACACTAAATTGACTCCTTATGTTCTCTCTCTCTCTCTCTCTCTCTCTCTGTTTCTCTCTCTACCTACGTGCCTATCTATCATCTATCTATTATCTATCTATTATCACTAACAATATCAAAGAAGAGATTGGGAATTAGAGAGAGTGAGGGAGAGAGAGAGAGAGAGAGAGAGAGAGAGAGAGAGAGAGAGAGAGAG